GCCAGGAGCCGGGACCCTCTGGGGCCTTGGGCTGCAATATTGCAGGCGGCCACAAGATGGCAACAGAGCGCTGCGTCTAGCTCCACGCTGGTGCGCTGAAGACTGTATTTTTAAAATTCATTATGTGTAGTAACAAAGTCCCAGTTCTCATTTTTAAAAGCACGCATGTAGCACATTTATGTGGAGTAAGTTAAGTCCGTTTGTACCTGGGACAGTCCGCTTCTCCTGGATCAGGGCCAAGGACTCAACGGAACCTGAGCTGAGGGGCCAGGCCCTGGATGGCACCAGGCTGGGACCCTCCCCCGGGACAGCCCTCTGGGCACCTCTCCCTGTGCACAGCGTCTGTATCTCCGATCAATCTGCTGTAAATACCGTCATTTTAAAGATGCACCGGGTATGCTGACCCTAGTGGAGCCAAGTTGGGCCCAGCAAGCACCAGGGCATGCTAGAGACAGGCCTTGCCAGGGACAGCTGGTGGACGCTGGGCCAGTCTGGGAGCTCTTAGGGGGAGAACTGAGCCATCGGGAGCACCTCAAGAGCTCTGAGCCCACACAGAATCAGATCAAGGCCTGGGGAGCGTTGGGGCCACTTCAGGTCCTCAAGGAAATAGACCAAACCAGAGTGGAGCTGCCTCACCCCAGCTTCTCCTCCCGGATCAAACCCTGACCGCAGGAATTTCTCCCTTGACTCTGAGTCCCCTGGATCAAAATTTGGAGCTTGGAAAACGTTGTTCTTTCCTTTGCTGAGGATTTTCACTGTCTGCCCAGAGCCGAGGCTCAACATCATCCATGTTGCTCTAGCCGAGAAATTAAGTTTCAGGATTCTAGTTTCATAATGCCAACCCTTTTATCTCCCCTCTGTAAATCTAACACTCTGTAAAGAATGTTGACTTAAATTGCCAACTAACAGTAATTCAGGTCTGCTTTGTAAACATCCTTATGTCTGCTGCCAAAAACCACACACAAAAAAAAACTTGCTGCCTTTTTTGTGGGATCGGAATGAGAAAAAGCCACATTAAAAAAATTTCTACGTATGTTGCAGATCTTGTTGCTTAATGTCACTAAATTCATTTGATGACTTTCTTAAATGGATTAGTTCAGAAAACGAGGTTATGCTCCTTGCAAACCTGGTAAGTTTTCTTTGTCAGAGATTTATGTAGCTCATCATGTTTCCCTTTTTGCCTTGGCTTCCAGGAAGCTCAGGGTTAAGTGTAATGACCAATCTAATTGTCATTCCCAATGACCTCTCCTTCTTTTACCATTATCCTTTTAACTTTGTTGTTTTAGTATTGTGTGTGTTTGCGTGTGTGTGTTTTCTCAGATTAAACTGCTCCAGTTCCTTGGTGAAAGCAGGCGAGTCAGCGTCTGGGACGCTGGTAGAAAGTAGTGATCTCCACAGAAGGAGTTCAGGTCCCACTCCTTAAAATCTGAGGGTGGCATGAACTAAATCACAGACATTGTACAGAGGGGTGGTAGGAAGCCCCTGAGAAACAGTGTGAGAAAGCCTGGCCCACTTGCTGCTCCTGCTCAAGCCTGGATGGAGGTGAGGTCACTGCATCTCCTCGCTGGCAGGAGAGAATTTCAGTGTTCACCAAGAGAGAGTGTTGTTTGTACTTGATGTATGAGACACCTGGCTTGAGAACAACTTTGTTGTCACAGAGTTAGCCTATAGTTAATGCCACTGATCTGAGAAGGTTGGTGAACTCTCTGGGCCTCAAATGGCCTCCTCGTCACTAAATTGGGGGCATGGCAGATGAGGATGATGATGTGGAATTAGGTATTTACCCAGTTTCATTTGTTTGTTTGTTTTTAAATATTTTATTTATTCATGAGAGACACAGAGAGAGGCAGAGACACAGGCAGAGGGAGAAGCAGGCGCCCTGCAGGGAGCCCAATGCTGGACTCGATCCCAGGACCCTGGGATCACACCCTGAGCCAAAGGCAGACACTCAACCACTGAGCCACCCAGGTGTCCCTGAGCGGTGGTTTTACATTTAAAAATCAGAGAAGAGGGGCGCCTGGGTGGCCCAGTCAGTGAAGCATCCGATTCTTGATTTCAGCTCAGGTCATGATCACAGGGTTGTGAGATCGAGCCCCACATTGGGCTCTTTCCATGCTGGGCATGGAGCCTGCTTTAAGATTCTCTATCTCTCTCTCTCTCTTAAAAAAAATTAAAAAATAAAAACGAGAAGAAATGACAGAGTCTATAGAGATATAAACATTTGTAGAAAAAAAAATGCATCCACCAGTGAAAAGGAGGCAAAGGGCCAACCTTGTAATAATAATTTTAAAGATGCAGAATAAGCCAACAATGCAGTCCCATTTATTTTGTCAAAGAAGGCAAACCACATCTTTAAATGCCCGAAGCTGGTAGCCATGTGGTAAAATTGACTTTGTTGTGTGTTCACGGGGTAACTTAATCTGACCCTTTTAGAAAGCCACTTGGAGAATTGTATTGAGAATTTTTAGAGTATTTATAACTTTGACCCAGAAATTCTACTTCTGGGACTCTGCTATGAAAATAATTCACAGTATGGAAAGAACTTGCAGAAAGATGTTCATGGTGAGGCGGTTTCTGTTATTTAAAATGAATATTGAAAAAATAAGTAAATAAAATAAAATAAATATTGGATCCCACAGATATCACAAAATATGACATATTATTTAAAACAATGTTCCTCATGTCTGTAGGCAAGACAAATGCTTAGATGATGGTATATGGAAGTGTAAAAAAAAAGATGGAAGTGTAAAAAAAAGATATGGAAGTGTATCTAAAAAATTACTATCATTTGTAGGTACATGATGGTAGTTTTATAGATATGTGACTTCAAGGGAACAAAACAGAATGTGATTGTGGTTGTGTTAGGGTGATAGGAAAAATTTTTTTTTAAATCTGGTTTTCAAAATCAATGTTATGTCACTTTTCTTTTTTTAAGATTTTATTTATTTGAAAGAAAGAGGGAGAGTGAGAGCGTATGAGAAGGGGCATTGGCAGAGGAAGAGGGAGAAGCAGGCTCATCGCGGGGCACAGAGCCCTATATGGGGCTCAATCCCAGGACCCTGGGATCATGACCTGAACCGAAGGCAGACACTTAACCCAGTAAGCCACCCAGGTGCCCCTGTTATATTATTTTTCTAATGAGAATTTTTTTTAAACTATGTTTTTTTTAAAGGAACATAAAAAAGGAATGAAAAAGGTGGGGTAGGTGTGTACTTAATGGGTACTTAGATCCAGACCAGTAAAATTGAGGAAAACAATGGGATGGGGTCCAAGACAGGATTACTCTGTTTTTATTTTGTCAGGCTAAGGACATCTAAAAATGATAACTATATATGCTATCTATGTAATTTAATAACTAATAATTTAATAAAGGAAAGGCCATTTTAATACCAAAAGGTAAAATGGAGGGGATCCCTGGGTGGTTCAGCGGTTTGGTGCCTGCCCTTGGCCCAGGGTGAGATCCTGGAGTCCCGGGATGGAGTCCCACATTGGGCTCCCTGCATGGAACCTGCTTCTCCCTCTGCCTGTGATTCTGCCTCTCTCTCTCTCTCTCTCTCTCTCTCTCTCTCTCTCTATCATAAATAAGTAAATAAATCTTAAAAAAAAAAAAAAAAAGTAGGGCAGCCCCGGGTGGCACAGCGGTTTAGCGCCACCTGCAGCCTGGGGTGTGATCCTGGAGACCTAGGATCGAGTCCCACATCGGGCTTCCTGCATGGAGCCTGCTTCTCCCTCTGCCTGTGTCTCTGCCTCTCTCTCTCTCTCTCTCTCTCTCTCTCTCTCTCTCTGAATAAATAAATAAATAAATAAATAAATAAATAAATAAATAAATAAATAAATCTTTAAAAAAAAAGTAAAATGGACAGATTTTGCTATCTTGTCCTCATTTCCTCATTTCGCAGAGGACCTGTAGCCCCTTGATGGCTGGCTCTGGCTCTTGGGTCAGAGTTTGGGACCCTTCTCCCCGCCATTGAGCCAGGCCAGAGCTCTGGGACCCTCCCCCCCACAAGCCCAGCCACAGGCACCCTGAGTCTTCTGAGTCTCCCGAGCAGTGGCCACCACCTGGTGTTCACGAAGGCCACAATGCAGGTGTTGGTGACATTTGCAGAATTTCAGGGAGCAGTGCTGGCTCTGAGTGGGGAACCCCTGTTGGTGGCTGTTCTCTGTGCTGAGCAGAAAGTCAAGCACTTTGTTTTCAAGCAGGGAGCTCGTGCTGGGAAGGGCACCTGGGTTAAGACGGCACCACTGCTCTAGCAGACAAGACATAGAATCTTCCAACTGCCCTTCTCCGTGCTCTGATGGTCTGGTATTTCACTCTTTTTTTTGTTTTGTTTTTTAAGATTTTTTTTTAATTTATTCATGAGAGACACACACGGGGGGGGGGGCAGTAGAGACACAGGCAGAGGGAGAAGCAGGCTCCATGCAGGGAACCCGATGTGGGACTCATCCCCGGACCCCGGGACCCCACCCTGAGCCACCCAGGCATCCCAGGGGTCTGGGATTTAAAACACAAAACCAAAATCTGCAGGTGATGATTCTTTCAGTGCCTCCCAGGCTTGAGGACCGCCACAGAGAGGTCTCGTGACGGTTCAGGCAGGCCTGGCAGGTGTGTGAATGAGGACACGGATGGGACCTTTTATTTATTTATTCATTTACATAATTGAGCACATTTCACTCCATCCCAACCTGGTGGACACTCAGCTGCGGTTTACAGACCTCAGATGTGCTCTGGGGGGGCCGGGAGGGGGGGATTCGCGTGATGCGAATTGCCTCCCCGAGGATGTGCTTTATAAACCCAGTGTTGTAAGGTGCGCCCACCACCAGCCACTCAGTTGTGGACGGCCTCCCTGGGGCAGCTCCCCTGGGAAGGTGTGACTCAGGCCTCCTGCCCTCAGCCTGGCGCCACCTCTCCCCGCCCTGAAGCCACAAAGGGGAGTTTGTGAGTGCAGAGCGGATGGAGCTGGGTGTGGTGTGTCACTCATCCTTTTTTCTGGCTATCAAAGGTGCAGATAATTAATAAGAAGCTGGATCTTAGCAACGTCCAGTCCAAGTGTGGCTCAAAGGATAATATCAAACACGTGCCAGGAGGCGGCAGTGTGAGTACTTTCACACTTTCCCTGCGCCCTTCTTTGATTCTGGTTTGTAAGAAGTGGCATGAGTGTATATATTTGCGAGACATTGCAGAGAATAAACCATTCTCCGGTTCAGGGTCCAGCTGTGCCCCCAGTACCTGTAGCCCAGGCTCCCCCATGGCTGTGCCCACTGTTCTCGGAGGAGCGCCCCAGCATCTGGGGGTGCCCGTGGCCTGTGCAGGCTGCAGGGGCAGGATAGGGAAGATGACTGAGCCTCTCTCTGACCCAAAGCCGGAGGCCGGGTCCGCACCGCATAATACCCTGGTCGACGCCACCCGATACCCTGCACGGGCTCCTGGAAGCCCCGTGGGAGGTTGGGCTGAAGGTGGCGGCACCTGGCACCGGGCTGTCACCTTCCCCATCCGCAGGGCAGGCTCGCTTTGACGGCTCTGTAGACGGCTCTGGCCCATCTGTTCTGATGAGCGGACACAAGGTCTACTGTCCTACCTCCGGGCAGCAAAGGTCCAGTCTCTGCCCACGTTTGTCTCCCACGTTGGCAAGGGCTGAGCACATTCCTGGGCCTCGGCTCGGGGGTAAAACCGGCCGCACCGGGCAGAGACATCGATGCCAGAGAGCCCACGGCCGTGACCAGGGGGCCTTGCCTACAGCCGTTGGGAGTTGACCGAGAAATCTTGCTGTGCACCCCTTTAAATTTGGCCTCCTCCCAATGTCTTGGGGACCCCCGGTGTCCCCAGCGGGTGCGAGCCTGAGATTTGGGGCTGGCATCCTCACTGCTCTCCTACTGACCCCATCTCCTCTGCTGCCACCCTCCCAGAGGGGGCATCCTGGGGCTGGCTCCCCCTTTCCCCAGCACCCTCCCGCTCCCCAGCCACATCCAAGCGGGAGGGTCGAGCCCCTCCAAGGCCCACCCCTGGGTGGGGGGACGGTTTCTGAGAGCAGGTGTCTCCACCTCTGGCTGGTGGTGGCAGGGCTAGCCCTGGGGGACTGGGGGCTCTGTCCCCAGAACACGCCCAGCCTGGGCCCCACCTCTGCGTCCAGCCCCAAGGGTTTATTCTCGCAATGTGCTGCTGCCCTGCCGCTGAGCCCTCTGGTCCCCGGGAGGGAGCAACGTGTGCTTCCCCCGCGGCTGCTGCATGGCGCTCCAGTCACGCTTCCTCACCAGTGTCTGCTCAGCGTCCCCTGTGTGTCCCCAGTCCCTGCCCTCCTGTCCCGCTGCTGCTGCCACCGGGAGGAAAGAGCAGGTGCGCCCACCCCCGTGGGCTCCAGGCCGAGTGCTGGCTGCTGTTGCAGCTCTGACTCCGGGTGCTCTGGTGTCACTGCAGACCTGGCTCTGGCCAGAGAGGGAAGGCCACGTGCTCTCCGGTTTAACTCCGGTCTGGCGGGCTGGTGGAGGTTGTACGGGAGGCCTCGGCTGCGCAGTCCGGGGGCTGCAGACAGCAGCTCCTTCGGGCGTGAGCTGGGCGCAGACCGTGCGCTCCCACTGCTGCTGCCAGGGCCCAGGACATCAGGGGACTTCCTCGGGCACGTCCTGTCTGTCCTGCACTCTGCCCTTCAACGGCTAGCCTCTCTGACCTGGCGAAGAGCCACAGGGTTTCTCAGGTTGGCCCTGAGCATTGTCCTTGGCGAGTGGCCACTGCAGGTTTGCAGTAGGAGCCTTCGCAGAAAGCTCTTCTCCTGGTGGAAGGTGGTGGGGCTCCAAGCACCCACGTGATGTCAGCTTCAGGCATCTTGGGGGCTCCGGACCCCTGGCCTGGGCCACAGCCTCTGGTGTGTGGCTCTGCCTTCCCTAGCCTGGTGGTGACTCCCCCACAGGCCAACTGAGCTGCTTGTCCATCTTGGGACACTCCCCACCTCGTGGCTGGCTCTGGGCTCCACTCCAGGGCCTGGCCCCCTCCCTCCCCAGCCTCCAGGCCGCCTGACCTCCCCGGCCTGGCTCCTACCCTCAGGCCATCCTTTTCCCTCTGCCTTCCCACATTCCTTCCTCCTCCACACCCTGTTACCTCATCCAGGCTTGGGGCGGAGAAGGAAGCCTGGGTTACATTACTCCCCTCTGGCTCATCCCAGGAAGGGCTCCGTGGCCCCTTCCCGCCTCGGCCGGTGCCTGGCCCAGAGCGCGCTTTCTCGCAGACCTGACTCCCAGAGTCCTTCCTTCCCCACCTGCTCACCCTCACGGGGCGAAGGCTGCCTCCCCTGTGCACTCCCCTCGCCTCACCCCACACACCCAGGACATTGCCTGTCGCCCTCAATCAACTGTCCATCAAAAAGAAATGCCAGCATGATTTTAATTAATGAAAATCATCTGGAACTGTTCCAGACGATTTAGACAGAAGTAGATCTCCCTCCTTCTTTTCTGGTTCTCTGGCTCCAGGCCATCTCTCTCCTGGGTAACTCCAGGGCAGGTGGCCTCACAGGTGGCTGCTGGAGGCTCTGGGAAGGGTCCCTTGGTGACCATCCAGGGACCCCCCCCCAAGCCATGGCTTTGTAGAGAATTCCTCCAGAAAACCCATCTGCCGACGGGGGCGCTGGCATTGGTGGCATTGGTGGGCCGCGCGGGGACTGTCACTCCTCTCTGGAGGGTGGGCCGTGCGGCCAAGCCCCGTGCTGGTTCTGGGGAGCCTCCCCTCCCTGTGTGTGTCCGTGTGCTCCCACTTGCCAGACTGACCCATGGGTTCCATCTCCTGTCACTTTGCTCCTGGGGCTAAAGAACTGAAATGTCCAGGACACTGTGTGTCCAGGCGCCAGCTGGCTCCTGCCTCCGAGCTGCCAGAGTGCTCGGGGCCCTGCTCGCTGACCGCCACTCTGGCCGCGGAGCGGGGCTTTGCGAGGCTCCCCGGGGAGCAGGCACAGCCACCGTCTGACTCGGCCGCTCCTCGGGGCCCAGCCACCAGCAGACACAGCTTCCCGGCTTTTCCAACGAGGTTTCCAGAATGTCGCACAAACGGATCGCGTGGTCCCTTTCTTTCTTGTGTCCGCTGAGTGTGATGTCCGTTCCATGTCGGGGAAAGCGTGGCTCTTTGCAACCAGTGGGTGGGCCCTGCGCAATGACAGACTCTCTGCTCCCCCCTGGGGGACGCACAGAGGGCACGCCAGCCCCCCAGTTACTTCGTGAGGCCCCCGCTGCCCCGGGCAGGGCCGGTGCAAGCCCAAGCCCGGTTTCCCACGGTGCGGAGGGCGTGCTCCTCGGGGGACAGGAAGCCGTCCGAGGGCCAGGGCCGGAGCTGCACAGCTGCCTCTCGCGCCGGGACGCCCACGATGAAATCATCCTATTTTGTTCTTTGTCTCCCACTCGTCTTCTCTCACCTCCAGGTGCAAATAGTGTACAAACCAGTGGATCTGAGCAAGGTGACCTCCAAGTGCGGCTCATTAGGCAACATCCATCATAAGCCAGGTAGGCCTTGCAGAAGGCGGGGAGGCCGGGGGGGCGGCACGGGGACTGGGCCGGGTGGGGGGTGCCTTCTACTAAGGTGGCTGGGAAGGATCTAGGGGGCCGGCTGATGAGGGGAGCATCGCAGGGGGAGCTTGCCGGCCCTGGGACGGGCGGCTGCCCTGTCTCCTCCCGAGCGGGCGCCGCGCTGGCCAGGGCTGAGTGAGGAGGGAGGGCGGACACTGCTCCGGGCCCCGAACTCGTGGTTCTCCACTCGTGGGTGCACGTGGGGAGGGCCCGATCTGGCTCCCGAGGCTGGCTGGGGACTGTTCCGGTTTGGCCCGCAGCCAACATGGGAGACGCCTCACCAACTGCACCAGCCGTTGCCAGGCTCCTGCTGTGACTCTGTTTCAGCAGAAAATGCCGTTGGAGCTCTGCCCTGCTTACCTCTCTCCTCCCCACCCCGCACCCCGAGGAGACCCGAGCTACCTGCAGGCCTCTGGGTGGTGATGGCAGTGCTCTAGACCTGCTCTGTCCCGTATGGTGGCCGCCACCCCCACGTGGCTGTTGAGCACTGGAAACGTGGCCAGTGCAGGTGACAAAATGAACTACTTTTATTTAATGGAAAGTTGTGGGGCCGGTGGGGCCGGTGGCTCCCATGATGGCACAGCGCTGATCGAGACCAACGCCCCCTGCCCCCGGGAGTCCCGAGCAGCGACTTCTGCCCGAAGCCTGGTTCAGAGCAGAAGCGTTTCGGGGGGCGGGGGGCGGGCGAGAAGGCAGGTAGAAACGGAAGCCGGGGATGGGTGTCATCATGTTCTGGCTTCCCTGGGACACGTCGTGGGAGTCTTTAGTCTGTCCCAGTGAAAACCATCCCTCGCCTGGTGCCACCATCCTATCTACTGTGCCGTGAGCAGCTTTCTTGGGTAGCTTTGTGCTTTCTCCAGAAAGGAATCTGTCGGTCTCTTCCTCGAGCTGTGTCCCCGGCACTGGGGCGCGGCACCCGGTGTCTGTGGAGGGAGGAGGGTCAGGGCCCTTCCTTGATTGCGGTGCATTTTGCCATTTAGCTTCATCCTGAGATCTTGCAGGGCTGTGGCTTGCAGGAGGTTGACGCAGAAAGACTTCCCTCTTTGGAAGCCAATCAGTTTAGAGTGTGGAAGGGTTCCTCTTGGACCGAGCTGTGCATTAACGAAGGAGGAAGAATTTGTCGAGCAAATATTTGACACCCAGCTTGATTAGCGAGGCGGAGCAAACTGCCGTCAGGCCCTCTGCAAGGTCTTACTTGTGCCCGGAACACCTTCCAATGAAGGGCTGGGTCTCCCTGGCATCACCGGCTCCGCCCTCCCTCAAGGCGCCCTGCGTGCGTTGTGTTTCAGGAGGCGGTCAGGTGGAAGTCAAATCTGAGAAGCTGGACTTCAAGGACAGAGTCCAGTCGAAGATCGGGTCCCTGGACAACATCACCCACGTCCCTGGCGGAGGGAATAAAAAGGTAAAGGGGGCGGGGAGGCAGCTGCGTGGCTGTGGCTGTGAATGGAGCGGGGTGGACAGTCTGGCGCAGCGTTCCCGGGAAGGAAAGCTCAGGGGCCTGCGTTGATCAGCTTGATGTGGATTCTCAGCAACCAGGTCCGTGAGTCTTGACCTTCGCTGCACGTTGCAGGCACCTGGGAATTTTACCAGATTTGGTGCCCCTCCCCCTCCCCACCCCAGAGATTCTTACTGGGCACCTGGAGTTTCTTTCCCTTTTTAAAAAAATTTAAATTTGATTTGCCAACTTGTAACACCCGTGCTCATCCCATCACGTGCCCTCCTTGGTGCCCGTCACCCAGTCACCCCATCTCCCCACCCCACCCCTCCAGCGACCCTTTGTTTCCCAGAGTCAGGAGTCTCTCATTGTTTGTCTCCCTAATTTTTCCCCACTCGGTTTCTCTCCTTTCCGTTATGGTCCCTCTATTTCCTGTATTCCCCACATGAGTGAGACCATATGATAATTGTCTTTCTCCGACTGACTTCCCTCAGCATAGTACCCTCCAGCACCCTGGGCTTCTAAAGCCCCCAGCTTCCAGGCCCTTAAAGGTGAGAGTCACTGTCCTCGGTGATAGCAGGATGGCCCTGTGGTTGGCAAGCGTCCACAAAAGGAAGCAGCCAGCCCCAAGGCCAGCCCCAGTGCACCACGGACAAGTCATGGGAACCTAACCTGATTTTCTAAATGGGTCACTAGGCAGTTAGAGCAAAACAGTGACGCTGAAATCCAGGTTCCTGCAGAGCCCCTGCCTGTCTGGCGCGGAAATGTCCTTGGGGAGGTTGCCAGCTGGTTGAGGCCCTGGGCCATCCCCGCAGGTTCTGGAGTCTCCCAGGGTCTCACCCTGTGAGCCTGAGGGAGGGAGACATGAGTGCATGGGTGGCCCTGAGCAAGCTCCCTCTGGGCGCATCACAGGATGTGGGCTGGTGGCCGCACTTCTCTTTTGCAGAAATGCAGCCAAAGTGCCCCCAGGAGGGTTCACAGCAGCCATGAAGTTCTGGAAGTGGCTCATTTTTCAGTTTGCGGTGCCTCCGAACAGCCAACAGAGCAGGAGTGGAAGGAGAAGGAGTATCCTCTAGCTTCCCAGAATGGGCATGGGCTCTGGGACCCAGCCCAGCAGGAGAAAGAGTGCTGCCCCAGGTGGCCCAGCTGGTTGGAGGTGGCAGCTGTCACCCCTGCTGGGCGGGGCCAGGAAGCCCCAGGGCTTGCAAGTCACCACACCTCCCGGCACATGCTGCTGGCTCTTCGGCTCTTAGCCTGGCCTCCTTCTCAACAGACACACCCCGTGTTGGGTTTGAGGTGAAAGCCCAATGGTGCAGTTTGGGAGATGCACTTGCTGGGTTGGTCTTACAGCAGAGGCTGCAAACTCAGGCCTGAGGACGGACCTGACCCCCGCAGCCGAGCTCCCCGACAGCTGTGGGCTGGGGCAGAAGACAAGGTACGGGGCTGTGGATGGCCTTGTGACAGTGCCCCATGCGGCTCCTCGACCCTAAGGTGGACCTGAAGTGGTTCCACAGACTCAGCTTCCAAGGTGCAGGAATATTTCTCAGCGCCTGGGTCTCTTGTCAGAGAGGGCCCGGGAGGCTGCGTGCCTCGAGGGAAGTGGGGAAGGGCCCAGTTCTCTGTGACCGTGGAGAAGGTTCTCTGCAAAGGCCCAGCCGCTCTGCTAGCTTCTGTCACCTGCCCCTCCCTGGTTTAAGGCCTCGGCATTGGTGACTTCCTGGGTGAGGGAAGGTCTCCGCCCATCTCTAGAAGCTTCTATGTCCTAAACAAAGCTTTGGGCTTGACTCGCTTGGGGGTGTGATCCTGGGCAGGATGGGCAAGTGCTCTCAGCTCATCCTTCCACAGCAAAATGGACAGAACTATCCACACGCCAGGGTGGTGGGGAGATCCAAACGAGACCACGTTCTGGAGGGTTCCTGGTACTCTGTAGCCGTCTAAGAATGTTAGGCCTGAGTGTGAACTTCTATTTTATTATTTTTTAAAAGATTTTATTTATTTATTCATGAGAGACACACACAGAGGAGAGAGAGAGAGAGAGAGAGAGAGAGAGAGAGAGAGAGAGAGAGAGGCAGAGGAAGAAGCAGGCTCCATGCAGGGAGCTGGATGTGGGGACTCCAAGCTCGATCCTGGGACTCCAAGATCACGTCCTGGGCTGAAGGCGGCGCTAAACCGCTGAGCCACCCGGGCTGCCCGCTGAACTTCTATTTTAACTCCCCTCTGTGCTGGCTCACCCTGCCCACCGCTCAAAGGCACTGTCCTGATCCCAGAGCGCCCCTCGTATTCAGCCCCCCACTTCCTGATGTGTGGAGCAGTGGAGCACGGGCCCCCTGCTGCCTGAGCTCCTTCCAGTTTGGGAGATTTGGGGACATTCCCAGGACCTCTTAAGAACAAAGCTTTTACAAGACACTAACATTAATGTTCTTATCAAAGCTTACGTCCCAACGGCCTTTCAAATACAGTGATATAGCGAGGTTCTTTTTGCAAAGCAATGAACCAAAATGGACAGAATAAGCGTAGAGCTTAAATGGGAGCCTCGGCTTCTCTCTCCACCCACATCCAAGGCCCCTGCAACAGGGGCTCCTTGCCCAGGCCCACGGACTCCTGAAGTCGCGTGGAAGACCCGTGGGTGGTGAGCACACGTGTATACATTTTCCTGGCTTCCCCAGACGCGCAGCGGGCCCAGGGCTGCGTCCGCCACCCGGGGGCTCATCAGGAACTGTTATGAGCTGCTCACGCCTCTGGCAAATGCTCCCTGAGTGTCCCGGGCATCCGTGGAGCCAAGACCTCCGGACCCCTGATTATGTCATCACTTCTCTACTGGAGAAAGGACTTGATCACGTCAGGATTTCTAGCGCACCTGCCGGCGCGGCGCACAGTCGCTGCCACCTCCAGTCCTCGGGCAGCGGCCGGGGGAGGAACGCGTGGGCTCCTGGCTGGCGCGCAGCCACTCGGGGGATGGCCCTTCCTCTTCTCCGGCGTCTCCTCCACGCTTCAGCGTGAAATGATGCACACACGAGGTTATTCATTCAGACACGGTGATAGCGTGTTTGTGATAGCGAAAGACGGGGACCGTGGGCGTAGCCATCCACCGGCGTGGGGGAGCAGGTGCATTTTGGCCCGTGGCCGTGGAATACCGTGCCGCCGTCAGCTAGCACCGGGGACAGCGGGTACTGACGGCAGGAGGTATTAGGTCGAAAGCCCAAAGTGTAAATAAAGCATGTGGATATGGTTCCTGTGTGGATTAAACATACACGCACGGTGGTTTTTGCGTACCCACTCGCCTGCTCTGGAAGGGTGCCTGAGAAACCAACCATGGTCACTGCGTCGGGAGAAGGGGAGTGGGTGGCCGCCAGGCAGGTGACAGAGGAGCCCTGTGCAGGTGTTCTCTCGGGGAAGGCGATCCCACGGTCCCCCCGCCGCGGCCACCACGGCTCCCTCCCACCCAGGCCCATGGTGGGCCGGGCTGCCCCCCCTTCCGTGCCTTGACTCACCCCCCCCCCCCCCGCCTCCTCTCTTCCAGATCGAGACCCACAAGCTGACCTTCCGTGAGAACGCCAAAGCCAAGACCGACCACGGGGCGGAGATCGTGTACAAGTCGCCCGTGGTGTCCGGGGACACGTCTCCGCGGCACCTGAGCAACGTGTCCTCCACGGGCAGCATCGACATGGTCGACTCGCCCCAGCTCGCCACGCTAGCCGACGAAGTGTCCGCCTCCCTGGCCAAGCAGGGTTTGTGATCAGGCCCCCGGGGCGGTCAATGATCGCGGAGAGAAGAGAGTGTGGAAAAAAAAAGAATAATGATCTGGCCCTTCTCGCCCTCTGCCCTCCCCCAGCTGCTCCTCACAGACCGGTTAATCGGTTAATCACTTAACCTGCTTTTGTCGCTCGGCTCTGGCTCGGGACTTCAAAATCAGTGACGGGAAAAGCAAATTTCATCTTTCCAAATTGATGGGGGGGCTAATAATAATAAATATTTTTAAAAACATTTAAAAAGATGGCCACACCCAACCTTTCCTTGGGCAATTACTTTTGATTCTTTTTTTTTCCCCTCTGAGTAGAAGGGGGAGGAGAGGCTCTGAAAGCTGCTTCTGGGGAATCTCAAGGGACTGGGGGTGCCCCTGCTTTGCCCCATCGGGGATGGGTGGGGGGGTGGGGGGTGGTCACAGAGGCAGCGGCAGCAACAAAGGATTTGAAACCAGGTGCCTTGTTGGAGCCGTGGGCCGATGTCAACCTTGGGGTGGGGGTGGGGGGCGCGGGGGTGGGGAGCCCCGGGAGAGGCTGGGGGGAGGGGGGGAAGGGACTCAGTGGGGAGGAGCCCTGCTCTCTGCCTGGAAGGGCAGCAGGAAGGGCAAACTGCCTCGGCTGCCCGCAGCAAACTGGGACCAAGTGGCCTCGGGCGCTGGGTGGCCCGGGTCCGCTGCGGGTCAGTGTGCGCCCTCCGGGGCACCTGCGGGGGGAGGGGGCTCCAGGCCCCCCGCCGAGCAGGGAGCAGGGAGCAGGGAGCAGGGACGGTGGTGGGCGGCGCCCTGCAGATCACTTCCTCCGAGAGGACTGACCCTGTGTCCCCAGTGCTGGCCTCCTTCTCCTTCCCTGCAGGGTGGGGGTCCTGAGCTGAGGGGCTTCCCTCTGCCCCGCGGAAGCCCCGTTTTGTTGAGTTCTGAAGGTTGGAACTGCAGCCACGATTTTGGCCACCTCACAGACCTGGGACTTTAGGGCTAACCCGTTCTCTGTAAGGACTCGTGCCTCGTGGGGACACCCGCCCACCCCCAGCCTGGGCCTCCGGCGTCTTGGGGTGTGCGGGGCTCTGGGAGGTGGGCCCCGAGCCTCCTGCCCCCCAGGGCCACCGCAGCCACCTGTCTGCCCCCCGCCCCACCCGCCAGGCCGTGTGTCTGCCGCGCGGAGCCCAGTCACCGCCGTCCCCTCATCACGTCACTGTCCCGAGTTCCCGGCCTCACCACGCCCCTTCTCGGCCACGGACCTTGTTTGGATGCAGGAGGCACCTGCTCTCCACTAAGGGGGTAACTGAGTGAAGGCAAAGCCCGGGCACAAGGTGCGACCTCGGTCTCTACTCACCCTCTGGTGTGTCCCCCACAACGAAGCTGCGACCTCACTCAGGTCCTGACCCCCCACGTCTCCTCACTGCCAGGGCCGGGGTGGGCTCGGCAACGCCTGTTCACGCGGAGAGCCTCTTCCTCCCAGGCCTGGGCCGCTCGGAGCTGGGCTGGCAGCGGTCGGCTGTTGCGCTTCCAGAGGTGGCGCGGGGGCAGGCCGCGGGGTCCCCAGGGCAGCGCCGCCCCGCCCCTTGCCCAAGCCTGTGCCTGCCAGCCCCTCGGAGCCGCCCCCTGGAGACGGTCCTTCCCGCCCGGAGCAGCTGAGCATATACATAGCCGTCCCCTCCCCTCCCGTCTGCACCCTGTCGCCTTGTAGTCGGATCTGTCTGCTTATGCTGGATTCACCAGAGTGACTATGATAACGAAAAGGAAAAAAAAGGACGCATGTATCTTGAAATGCTTGTGAAGAGGTTTCTAACCCACCCCTCGGGGCCGGGATGTCCCCCACCCCCCGCCCCGGGGCCGCTGTGCCTCCGCCCTGCTGCGGCCTCCCGACTGGAAAGGCTCCCCCAGCATCCGGGACCGGCGGACACGGGATTCTGACGTCCGAGGCCCTCGGCTCCGGGGAGGAGGCGCACCCCGCGGCCGCGCTCGCCTGGGCACAGCCCGAAGCCCCAGCCGCCCGGGGGGCTGAGACCAGCAGCAGCCGGTCCTCGCCCGCCGCGCCGCCCCGCCCCGCCCCCGAGGGCCCAACCCCGCCCCCGAGGGCCCCAGCCCCGTCTGCTGCCGCAGGGACCCCCCTCTACGAAGCCGGTTTGAGGAGGTTCAGCTGCTCCGGTTGGGGGATTCGAGATTCGGGCCCGGGGCTGGTGGGAGCCCAGAGCGGCCTCTGCAGGGCGGGAGGCTGCGCGTGCAGCCAGAGCCCCGAGCAGGGAAGGTGTGGGCCTGAGCCGGCCGCCGCTCCCGGAGGGCTGGGGAAGGGCAGGGCAGGGCAGCGTGGCTCGGAGTCGGGAGCCGGGAGCGGAGACTCGCTCGGGCCGCGCCTTCCTGCCGCTGCCGCTGCCGCTGCCGCGGGCCTCGCTCGGAGGGCTCCGGGCCCCTCCCTGCGGGATGGACTGGGGGGACGGCCCGGAGACCCGGTCGGTGCCCGCAGGGAAACTGCAAAGGGAAGCTGGCTCGTGACCTTGAACGAGGACAATCCTCCCCCCTTCCCAGGGCTCGGCACTCTGCCACCCGCGTCCCCCGCGGGGCTGGGGGCGGATGGGCTCCGCTGCCTGGTTCCTCCCAGCCCTCCACTCCCACCTAGCAGTAGTTCCATTTACATTGACTTCAGTGCGGAGCCTGTCTCCGGTTTGCTTGTGGCGCTTGGGGGGAGGGGGGAGGAACCTGTAAGGTAGTTACCGCGGGCGAGGAAGTCTTGGAGGGCAGTTCAGCTGCCTCGTAACCCGTTTCTTCAGATCACCCACAGCTGCTCGAGGTCCCTGGGGCTTGGCCTTCGCGGCAGGTATCCAGGGCAGCCGGCTCGCCCGCTCTCCTTCCGAGCCACGTGCAGGCCTTGCTGCCTGCACAGGAGCCTGCAGATACAGCTGCCCTCTCACGGGGGGGAGGGGAGGCCCCCGCCAGCCTCCCATCTAAGCCGCTGGCACCTCCGTGTCACCTTTCCCACCAGCTCCAGACATGCAGCTTGTCCTAGCAGCTGCCAAGAGCTCCTTCTTCCTCTTTTCTCTGTCCCCAAAGCCAACAGGTGGGGATGAGGGTGGAGGTGGAGGTGGTCGGCTGGTCCCACCTACAACGTCGGTGGCTTCCGGGTGGCTTCGAGACTTCTGGTTTCTCTTCAGCTTTGAAAAGGGTTACCCTGGGCACTGGCCCAGTCTCCCCTCCTAACGGACTTCGCCCCGTGAATTTGCAACGTTGGGCAGGACAATTTCTGGCACTTGCAAGTCCCATGATTTCTTCGGTAATTTTGAGGGTGGGGGGGGAGGGACATGAAACCATCTTAGCTTAGCTTCCTGTCTGTGAATGTCCATATGGTGTATTGTGTGTTTTAACAAATGATTTACACTGATTGTTGCTGTAAAAGTGAATTTGGAAATAAAGTTATTACTGATTAAACAAGGTGTCAGTGCATGGATTCAAACGACAAAGTGACTCAAGATGTAGGATTTTTAAGTCTTTTCCCAACTTGAGCACCTCTGATCAGGAAATGTCAAGGTTGCTAAAACCTGGACGTCAGGATTGAACAGCTCTCGCTGGGGCCCTGGAGGTACAAGAAGAGTTCTCAGACTTGAGTTGATTCTCTGATTCTGGTGCTGGCAAGTTATCCCGTTTCAAATCAAAGGGCAATACCACTGTGGCTGACCTCACAGGGCTGTGCTCGGAGTCCGTAGGACCACACCAGCGTATTCAAACCTGATGAAGCTGGGCAGGTGTAGGAGATGGTTTTCTGTCCCAGAGTCCTGGGGCTGAAGCAGAACACTAGGCCAGCCAGTCAAGTGAATGAATGGCTTGGCATTCCTCCTGGGCTTAGGGAGCTGCCTTCCTGTCTCCCTTGGATCCTTACTAGATGGGGGAAGAGGTCTGCTCCACCAGGATAGGAACACCAAGGAGCCCCCAGCAATGCCACAAAGAAAACAAACATAGAAAAGCGAAGCCCATGGATATTACTGTTCTTTAGTAATTAGCTCAAGGTCCTGAGAAGGAACCCTTCAGTCTTCATATAAAGTTGCAAAAAGTTGTCTCCGCACCCTCCTCCCATCCCCTCCTGTGCTTGTTTATGCCACTGCAGGCAGAAAATGACACAGTGCAGATCTTCACCGCAGGCACAGAAGCAACAGGGCACCGGACAGACAAAATGCTACCTCCAAACTCACGGCATTCTTTGCTAGGACCGGGGCTTCCCTGCTGGCATCAACTTGACTGCCATGATCAGTTAGAAGAAAGAGTAAAGGCGGAATCAGGCCTGCCTACTTGTCTTGTACAAAGAGAACTGAGCACTTAGCCACTTCAGAAAAATGCTACAAAATACATACATTCTCATTGACTCCAGCCCCAGAAAAAAATCGACAGCAAGAGGTCAAATTTCCATTTAGAATTGAACAATTTAGAACAGATATAAAATGTCATACTGTCGGTTTCACTAAAGGAAGGTACATCGAGGTGATCAATCTCTTACATCCAACAAAAAAATTACCTACAGAGATGCTGTCCTCCGGGCACCTCTTACCTTCCTACAGAGATGCTGTCCTCCGGGCACCTCTTACCTTCCCCGACCCCCACTGCATCCTCGCCCCAGTGACCATCATCAGGTGACCCTGCCGGGTACCCAGTTGACAGAATGGAGACTTCCCCAAGGTTCAGAGCAAGTCCGGGCATGCAGAGGACTGCTCCATCAGGGCAAGGGGCCTAAGCTGCCATCACTGCCATACAGACTGGGTCTGATGGCAAGAAAGGCCCAGCGACACAACATTCTGTAACTTTTTTTTTATTATTTTTTTCAATTTTTCCTTCCTTTTTTTTTTAAGCACTAGTCTGTGCTTTGCGAACAGAATCAAGACATTAACAAAGATCAGCTTCTCTGAAGAAAAGCATTTCTATAGAACAAAGACAGCTACATGTTTCGCTGCCAATACACAGCTCAAAGCAGGAAAAGAAAATATTTACAAAATACAAGGTTTTTTTTTTTCCATTTTTGTTTTTGTTTTTTTTTTTTTAACAATGCTAAAAGGGTTATTCAGAATTTTCAACCTTATAAATAGAAGAAGCACTTTATGCATAGGGATATGGTGCATTATTGTTTTTTTAAAGAAACAATGACAAACCCTTTAACTTGCAAACAGAATCAAAAAAAAAATCACTAATGTTGAAAATTGTGAAAAAACCCCAACCATTAAGCAGTTTGTCTACTATTTTTATACGATTACAAAATGGCAACAAAAAAAAAATAAAAATAAAAATAAAGAAGTCCTTATTGCCCCCCCTTTGGTGATGTGATCATACATGAGACAGGCACAAGGTTAACCAAGGGGGTGAGGAGAGAGCGACGGGAACCACAGCTAGGACCAGACAACGTTCCACAGGCAAGGGGAGCTTGGAA